TTTTTTTTTTTTTTTGGCGGAAGCAGGGATTGAACTCAGGCCCCAAGCGCTTATTCTACTGAGCCATCTCTTTGGCCCCAAACCTTTCTGATAGGTCAGGATTCAGTTTCCCAGGCACCTTGCCCCAAACATTCTCCCTCTTGGTTTCCAAGGCAACCTGCTCCCGAAATCTCTCCCCCTTGGCCGCACTGACAGCCAAACCCAAAACCACAGAACGGGTCCACCTGACTTTGGCCTGGGCAAGTAACCACAAAACTCCTTTGTTATCATTAACGGTCCCCCCAGACCAGGTAGTCAAAATTAGCTCTCCCTTAGCTGTTCCAGCCCATGATCACCCTCCCTAAAAGATCTATAGTCTCCTGTGCCCCCTTTATTCGCTGCTGTCTTGGTCTGCTAGGCAGACAGCCTGCTTGATGCCACCAATAAATCTACTCGCGTCAGAATGCTTGGTCTGGCCCATTGTGTGGATTCGTACTTAATACTTTTCTTTTTTTATCTTCAGGTATTGGGTGTTTTGTTCCAGCAACAGGAAAGTAACTAAGATAATTAGATAAAGAACTCAATCTAACTTTATAAGAATTAAGACAGCTATGCTTCCAATAGTTTAAAAACCTTAATTTTCCTTAAATTCTGAAGATTAGTGTGTCTTACACAATTAGTAGTAGTCATATATAGTGTTGGGGGTAGAAGTGCAGCTCAATTGTAGAGCAAAAAAAGGGGCTTTAATTACAAGTTTACATACACACTTTTTAAAAAATTTTATTTGTGTGTGTGTGTGTGTGTGTGTGTGTGAGACCAGCTCAGCCCACCAGGGGGCAGGGCTGGCTGGCATGTGGTGCTGGGGGATTGAACCGCAGTCCCTATGCTTTGCTAAGCTTGTTCTAAGTAGGTGCTTTAGACCACTGAGCCATCTCACCAGCCCCCCCCCCTTTAAAATAATGTATTTGGTACAGGGTCTCAGTAAGGACATTGGACTTGTAGTGATCCTCCTCTTTTCAGCCTCCCCAGTGCTGGGATTACTATGTGTGCTTTTATACCTGGACTCGGTGGCAGGCTCAGCATGCCTGGGGATGGGGCTGGCATGGCATGCAGTAGGGGGATCGAACTCTTGTCCTTGTACTTGCCTAAGCAGGTGCTTAGGCTGCTGAGCTATCTTGCCAGGCTGCAAACTAAAAAATTAAGCTGCAAACTAAAAAATTAATTTGCAGGGGGCTGGGGTGATGGCTCAGTGGAATAAGTGCTTCCCTGGCAAGC